TTTTTTTCGTTGCAGGATGTTCTTAAAGAGTGTCAGGAACAGATCGAGCGCGTGCTGGTCAGCAGCCTGCGTGAGGGCCGACAGCAGCAGCAGCAGCAGCAGCAGACACAGAGGGGTCCCAGTGGAAAAGGTCTCGACGAGCTGGACCAGTCCTCCACCCCGACAGACGTCCGCGATGTCAACTTGTGAACCACCAGAGGGCGTCATTGCACAGGATTTCTTTTTCCCCCCAACGACGACAACAAAAAGCATCATAAAAAAAACCCTCACTTTTCCTAAAAGCAGAAAAAAAAGAAGAAAAGAACAAAAAATGTTTAAAAACACAAGCCCTTTAAAAGAAAAAAAGAACAATGCTTGCTAGTTGTTTTTTCTTGTAGATTTTTTTTCTGTTCTTCAAGTCCAAAAAAACCCACATGCCCTGAAATAGAGCTTCTTTTTTTTTAAAATCGATGATGTTCTTGTTTTAAAAAGCAACAATTTTGATTCAAGATGAAGCTCTGTGGTGCCTTGGATATACAGAAGGGAAGCCAATCATATTTGCATACTGCCTTTGATTGTATAGTATAATCTTTAAATTATACTTTAACAATAGCTTAATAATGAGGCTGGTGTGGGCGAAGCTGTGGGGCGGGGGAACGTGTGTACGTGGGATCACAGCACGCCTCAATTTAATGTTTTTTTTTTTCTTTCCGTCTCTGTTGTATTTGAGTATTATTACTATTACATTATAGGGTCAGAGAGGACGTATGTTCGAGCTCCTCCACTCATGTGGTGTCCTCGTGTGTCCCAGGATGAGACGAGACAGAGGAAGCTGTGAGAACATGCTTAAAGTTCGTGATTGGCTCAAATTCCATGAAAGAGACAGGATTATTATTATTATTATTATTATTATTATTGAGAATAATAATAACAATATTATTTGTAATATTATTGGACGTCCTTTGGAACTGAGTAGTAGAGATCAATAAGCTCCTTTTTTTTTTGTCAGGCTGCTTATGTGTGTCAGTGTGTGGGCATGGGTCCACTTATTAGCCTGAGTGTGTGTGTGTGTGAGCATGTGTGTGTGTGTGTGATTGAGTAAGTGCTACATGTGATCCTGTATCTATATAAACAGTGTGCATCCTATGGCGTGAGGCACTTAAACAAAAAGGCCAACATGTAGACTCACATGTTCTGTGTCGCTAACGGAGCGAGCCCCGGCTACACTCGCAGTACAGACGTCCGTCAGTGTAACAGGGCATCGACGCTATATCACTGCCTTCATGCATTAAACTGTCTGGTGGTTCGTCGTTGGCCAACAATCAACTCGCGCGCATGGACGATGAGCGAGAGCGAGAACTGTTTATCCCAGGAGGATGTGGGCAAATGGACTTTCACGTTTGAGCCCCTTATCTTTCTGAATCACCCTGAGGTTCTTCACCTGCAGGGCAGAGGTCACCAGCATTCTGTCAGTGAGGTATTGCAGATACTTCATTCTGATCGGTGTTGTTACGATTTGGCGTTTCCTTTCGGTTTGTAAAAGTCTGGACAGAGGAGTTGGGCTCGGGACGCTTGAAGAAAGTGACGCTGTTTAGAGTTGTGAGGACCAGGACTCCTGGATGTCCCGACCGGCGGGAAGGAAACGGAGAAGTAGGAGGAGAGTGGACAGTTTTTGACCACAGAGGGCACACGGGTGCATGGCACAGGATGGTGGGACAGGGAGGTGCGTGTTTGTGCAGGGATCAAGCTGCTGTGTAGAAGACGATGTACAGAAGACGCCTCCGATGGCCTCAGAGTAAAACTTTGATACTGTACATTTTGAGGTGCGGTTAAAAAAAAAATTTTAAGTCAGAGTAAAACTTTGATACTGTACATTTTAAGGTGCGGTTAAAAAAAAAATTTTAAGAATAAATTCTCAAAAAAAAAACAACTGTTGTCAGCGATGACACAGCTTTTGAAGGTTTCCATTTCCTCAAAAATGAAATGAGGAACCGAGACTGTACACTGCCACGTAAAGCGAGGAGGAACGTTCTGGGGGGCCTTGAGAGGAGTCCAGGATGATGACATGCTGTCAATGCATCTAGAGTCCCACGTAGGGTCGGTCCCTGGCCCCCCCGACCCCCCCGCCCCTATATGATTTCAATGGCAAAGCACTTTGAGAACATGCTCCCCAGGAGATAAGTCAAATGAAACGTGTCGGTTGGTGATTGGAGGTGGATGGATGTTTTCTTTTCTTTCCTTGTTAGCCTTTTCTTTGGTTTACCTTGTAGGGCTGGTTTCCCAACCATCTGACGTACGTTCGTCAAGAAGTAGCGTTACAATTAATGAATGGCCTTTCCACGCGAAATTCCAACCAGAGGACATTCCAACTAAACAAACACAGTACACATTCCGTATCACGCCAAGTGCCAGATGACGGGGAGTCCGGCTTGTTTTTGCCGACGTCGCTGATCCATGAGTTCTGTTTGATTTCCTTTTTCCTAAGACATGAAATATTCGTTTTTACTTGAATTTTTTCCTTTATTTTATTTTTTCCTTTTTATTTATCTGTAACACAGCCACAGTTGGTCGCGGGAGGTTCAGCGAGGAGCCACAGCAGACGGTGGTTGTAACATCTTGATTTTTGCACATGTTCCTCAGAGGGCAACGAGAACCTTTGCTCCACAAACCGCCTTCTCTGCTGTGCGTGGCGCTGGTTGGTCAGGTGATTTTAATGGTGCTGGCTTTTGTAGTTCAGACTGGTGGTCTGTCAGTGAACGCTTCGTGTCCCCTTTGTGAGCTTCGCTGCTTCAAATCATTGCAAAGGGTTTTTTTTTAATTATTATTATTATTATTTTATCAGCCGTACAGACATCAGCACAAAACAAGGTTTTTTTTTGTTTTGTTTTGTTTTAAATGAGACACAAGGCTTCACCGAGTCTGGTGTCTTTGACTTAATGCTTGAGGGTTGTTTTTTTGTTTTTTTTCCTTTATTCAATGATGGTATGTGATTTTGCTGAGTATGTTTGTCAGACTGAAGAAAATGTGGGGAATCTTAAAAAAAAAAGAAAAGAAATAGTGTGATGTTTGTCAGTAAAACTGGGCAATTATTCTGACGACACTTTTTGCCAAAACATCCCTGAATGGACATTTGATATGAACCCCTTCATTTTTTCGCCTCTGTCTGATGTAAGCTCTCTCCCAAACTTAAAGGTTGTGATTTTTCTTTCCTGCAAATTGTTGTTGCATGTGTTATATATTGAGAACACCTTTTTACAATTTGTGTTTGATATATTATATGGGGGTGACCAGACCCACAAAAGGGGTTTTTTCTAAGATTTAGAGATACTGTATTCCAAAGTGAAGAGAGGATCAAGGAGGGGGGAGGAGGAGGAGCAAGTGGAGGAGGAGGAGGTGTGAAGACATCAAGAAAAAAGTGTCAATATTTTTATTGAGTTATTGTTGTCTTTTTTGCGCTGCTAAAAGCTATGAATTTGTTTCATTTATACAAAAAAAAATAACATTATCTAGTTGTGATGTGTCACTTGAGTGTGCTGCTATTTTATAAACATTTGTATTATAATATAATTATTTTACTGCTTAAGAGATACATTCAGAAAAAAAAACGAAGTAGATGGTGATAGAAGAACATAAAATGAGTACTCGACTGGAAATGTTCTTTGTACAGTTTGACGGTTTGCTTAGATAGCATGTCTCCTTACACCCTGCCCTATTTTTTTTTTTATCTTATTTTGCTCTCCTTCTTCGGTCACATTCTGCATCAGTGGTATTTCCAATACCTCAGGATTACTGGACAAAAATCAAACACACAAACCCATCACCTATACCTCTGCAGTTAGGAAGCCTGACGTGGAGGAGAAAAAAGAGAGAGAGAAAACTACAAATGATCGTTGTTTGTTCAACAGTCCCACGCTGTCGATGGAGCAAACAACTCGACTCTGCACGATGGCAAACGGGACTTTTGTCAGGCTTCCACTTGGACTTAAACAATATGGGAGGGAGGCGAGGGGGGGGGGGGGGCTACTGCAACATGTGGCAACGTTCTCATGGTGTTTGAATACCGAGAGTAGCCCCGGCATGATCGTGATGTCACGTATGTTGATGCTACTCAGATGTGTTGTGTGTGTGTGTGTGTGTGTGTGTGACGGAGGGGGGAAAAGACAACGTTCCCGCGGCCAAAGTACAGTTCTTGCTTTAGACGACCACAATCACTCTGAATGTCAGTAAATATGGATTCCGTGTGTTTAAAAAAAAAAAACGAAAAGAAAAGAAAAGAAAAAAAATTGTTGTGTTTTGGTCTGAACTAATGTGTGTGAGCGTGCCATTGTAACTGCCCGTCGTGTCCGGTGAACACAGTGGACGTTTGAGTGGTGCAGGTTTCCCTTTGAGTTGCCACCCTTTCAGTAAACTCATATCATGTACCTCAAATGTCTGTTGCACAACCTCTGGTCAATAAACGTCTGCTTTAAAGGGTGTGACACCACATCAGCTCGCTGTTTCCCACGCCTACTTTCATTCGGTTTCTCATCAGTCAAGGGGAGTGTGTGTGTGTGTGTGTGTGGCTGTTTGTGTGTATTAGGTTGAGGTTCGGCTCGGGTCAAAGGTTGGAGTAGGTCTAGGTGATAAAGAGTATCATATACTATGAAATAAAAGAAAAAAAAGTTTAGAGGAGTCAGCATTTAAATGCAGCGCACTGCAGTTCTTTCTGTCTATTTTCCTCTAAATAGGATTGTAATTTAGAAACCTTGAAGTTTTTGGAGAAGACCTCAAACCTGTGATTAAGATTTAATATATATATATACATACAGTCTGAAGATAGAGTTTAAATATAGAATGGTTTATTTTAGTAAATTACTTTTTGATTTTTACATCAATTATCTTTCCGTTGGTTCATTCATGTTGGCGGAAATAAATCAGGAATTTTATTCAGGTATATTTTCTGTGTTTGTAAATTCTGCTTAAAAAAAATAAGTTATTTCAACGTCAACATCTAATTCTGCCTGTAGATGTTGCTAAACCTTACAGTGGACTCCAGATAAAATGTCTCCAGTTTTTAGGCAGTGAGTGAGAGGTGTTTAAATGACAGAATGATAATAAACATATATTTATCATTTTCCCTCTTTTCTTAAAAAAAAAAACCCAAATGAGGAAAGTAACGTGAGATCTTAAAAACCCGAGGACGTTTCAGTAAATCCGTCAAGGTGCCGTTTGATCACTCATACCTCTTCTGTCTTCTATCTTGACAGTTGGACTCGCTGACTGTCTTCAAGTCACACACTTGGCTCAGCCTGACTAACCGCTCGCCAATCTGAGGCCGGGGCCACACTGGATGCGTGAGCCGAGCATCTGTGTCACAAATGTGGCCGCGTGAGACGTGATCATCTCCCTGAGAATAGAGCCGCTGCCTATTTTTACCGTTGGCCGCACCCGCTTCACAGCGAGGCGGACCGTGAGAATGAACCTTCACTGAAGTTTCAACGTTAAATTTGTCACAAACACATCAAGTCTCGTGTCCATTACAAACTAAACGCTCTCTCTCTCTCCAGGTTTTTTTTTCTTCGTGATTCCAGAATATAAACTGGACAAGGCTCTGTTGATGTCAGACTGGTTAAAAAAAAAAATCTAAAAAAAAATTATATTTTTTTAAAATCTTATTTAGTCTTCCGTGCTATTTTATTTTTTATTGTCATATTGTTTTACTTTCATTTCATTTCTAGAAAAGTTTTGAATTAATTAATTAAGTTTTTGTTAATTTTATTTGTTGCGCTTTTTTATTATTTTACCTTTTTTTTACTTTTTAACAAACTTATTACGATGAAAGTTTTGTGACGTCATTATATTATTTATAAACTGCAGGTATACGTATATTTTACTTACTATTATTTACTTATTATTATGTTTTTGTGTTATGTTTACTATATTGTCTTCCAGACGAGTACATTACGTTTTTGAAAATGTTAAACTTCCTTCTTCCTTCGGACTTGGAGAAGAGGCGGAAATCCCGGAAGTGAGGTGAGCAGTTCATCCTGGTGACGGTGTAAACCACGACTCACTGTAGGACGTTTCTTGTTAAAGTTGAGATGTCTAAAAATGGTTGTCCTCCTCTCCACTAGAGGGCGTTGTGACTTCATGTATCTGCATATGGCGCCGGTTTCCTGTGAAACCAGCTCCATACAGAGATTTGCGGTTGGATCATGAACAGACTGAAGGTGGGGCTGACACTTGTTCGACAGTAAGTTCCGTCACTGTTTCGCTGTGCTGTTTGAATATTTATGAGAAGTGCGTTCAGATGCGTGTTAGAACAGCGATTCAGCTTCCGGGTCTGTGTCTGAGGTTTAAACCTGATTATGTTCGGATAAAACAAAATAAAGTGACACGTGACCTTTTCCTGCTGGGCTGCTCAATGAAACAAGTGCACCTTAAAGGGACACGGCGGAGTATTAAAAAACTTAAAACCTTTTTTCCTCACAATTTTAACAATGTTTTTAAAGATAATTACTTGATTCTCATCATTGTTTTATCGTTTTATATTTTATCCCCATAAATGTAAGACTTCATTCTCTAAATTTCATAAATTCAATGTAACAAACGCAACGCTTTTTTCTGCCATATTCATAGTTTATTCCCCAAAACACAACTTTTTATTCTGTTAAACTAACTTATAAGGTATATTATGTAATGACTTTATTTATTCAATGTTGCCCTGTTGCCTGTGCAAGATTTAGGTCCAACTGTTTTATATTTTTGCCCAGAATGGACACTAAGTAGATAAAGTTGCTCCAGGTGTTCTCCAAAGAACCTCAAATGGCAGGATTTTGTTTTTGTTCAACTATAAGTCTATCATTCAGTTCATTTTTTGCATTTTATCTATTGTTCAGTGGAGAAACCCATTACAACAAACTGGGTCTTCTTCAAGGTAGGCTCTTATTGTCAACAAAATAATGCTTTTTATCATTAATATCGATTGGATTTGTATATAAATATATATATATTAATTCCAAAAGTCTTTGCCACCTACAGGTCAAACTATCGATGCGCCTTTGTCTGACGTCGGGCTGCAGCAGGCGGAGGCTGCTGGTCACTACCTGAAAGATGTGGCGTTCACTAACGTGTTTGTCAGTGACATGCTGCGAGCCAAACAGGTGCAGGACACTTCACTGACATCGACATGGTCTCTTTTTATTTATTTATTTATTTACAGAAGTTTATTGTGTTGTTTGTCTTTCTTTTTTTCTCTCTCCCAGACAGCTGAAACAATTATGAAACACAACAGCAGCTGCTGTGGTCTGCAGATGGTCTGTGACCCCTTACTCAAAGAGATAGTGAGTGGCCATGTTTCTTTTGAACATAATCTCCTGAACATAATCAGTCAAGAGAAATCGACTGAAATGCTTTTTTTTCGTTTTCCAGAACTTTGGAATAGCAGAGGGAGGACGAATGCAGGACGTTAAAGAAATGGCCAGAGCAGCAGGTCAGACGTTTCCAGGCTTCACTCCACCAGAAGGAGAGACTGAGGAGCAGGTGAGAACCTGGAAGGTTTTGATTTTCACTCAAACCTGATTGGCTGATCAGTCAGTTTCTAGACACATTCTGTCTAGAAAAATGTCATTTTAAAAAAATTCAGATCTAATGTGAAACAAAACATGCCTCAACTCTTTGTCAATGTTACAAAAGTGACTTCGGCTTAATGTTTCCCGTGGTATCATGTTTAATTAAATACTGTATGTAACCTAGCTTTGACAACGTGAAGTTTGTTCTTATTTATGTTTCATAAAAAAGGGCTTTTTTTTAGGAATAATATGTAACTAACAACGGTGTATTATTTATATTTAAACCAAAACAAAAAGTTTCAAAAATAATCTAATATTTTTCATTAATCAAATAATAATTTTTTCCAAAATAAATAGGCGAAAAAATCTTCACTTAACTTCACAGTATCCCGCAAAAAAACTAAATAACAAACTAAAACTCTTCGTTCCAAAACGCAGATGTAATGTACGAAGTGTTCCACAAGGTGTCAGTAAGGGTTCATCTCTTCAAATCTGTTACTCTGTGTAAAGGATGGATCCCGGTTTCTTGGCCTCCACCTGATGCTTTCATAGCTGTCGTGGGGGGGTGTTAGGGGTGAGGTGGTGAGGAGGGAGGGGGGGTCAAAGTCCAGACCCCGGTGTTTGTAACTGCCTTTGATTAAAAAGTCACCACTTCTTAGCTTCTGGATATTTGTGTTAGAGAGTTTTTAGGGCAGGGGGAGAGAGTTGGAGAGGGGGTGGGAGGCAGGGAGAATGTTCTATTTCAAAGGCACTGGGTCAGACGTCATCTGTTCAATCCCACCCTCCGGTCCAGCTCAGTCCAGTACGTGACCTGCACATGATGATGATGATGATGCAGATAGACAACGATAGATATGACATCAGCACCGAAAGGTCCCACTCCCTGACCAACAACCAGAACCCCCCCCCCCTCCTCCCTCCCGTGCTCCCTCCCACAGGTTACAGTTTGTTGCATCAGGTTGAACCAACAGTTGTCACGCTGTTGTGTGTTGTGTTGTGTTGTGTTGTATGGAACCGAACAACCTTTAGCTCTAATCCCTAACAGTTGCTGGAGTCACGTTTGCGTGGCGTCCATGTCGCACATTCCTAATCGGTGACTGTCTGTGTTCAGGTGAAGGAACGAGTCAGAGCGTTTGTGGAGAAAATGCTGCAGCAGATCAGCGAACAACACTGGGGTCTCGGAGGAGGGGAGGAACCCCTCTCCACCGCAGTGGAGGGGAAACCAGACGATGGGGTGCGGGGCTTTCCAGTGCACGTTCTGGTGGTGACACACGGAGCCTACATGTGTGTGGCGGCGCGTTACTTTGTGGAGGAGTTACAGTGTTCTCTGCCTCCGGGTTGTGACAGAACTCACATGTTCTCACTGAGTCCAAACACTGGTCTGTGTAGGTTTATACTGACCGTGAGGGAAGGCGATGGGGACCAGAGGTTCGTACCATCAGACTTCCACTGTGTGTTCGTCCACAGGGGAGACCATGTGAAAAAGTGAGACCATAGAAAGGTGTACGATGGGCAGACAGATTTTAGGGTGTAGGACACACAGGTATGGGCCGCGTAGCAAAACCACAGACAAGACAAACCCTGACCATACCATATTTTTACAAACTGGTACAAGTATTTGTATAGTGAGTAACGTTACCAAAAATGTCTTTAAGTTCAATGAACTGGTAGGATGTGTTGTATGCTGTAGGTACCACAGCTCTGTTGGTTAAAACTCTCCATAGTTACAACCAGGTGGGCAGAGCTTTGGCACCAATAGAACATTTCAATGGAAAACGCTCTCCTGAGTCCAGCGTTAGATAAACTGAGGAGCACGATTTACGAATCTCAATAAACAAATTGATGCATATGTACTGTCATTTTCTAAAATATTAGGCTGCCCCCCCCCCCCCCCTCCCCCTTCGAGTGATTGATTTGTATCAAGCCCCGAGCCCTCTGGTGGCAAGCGGGTGTCCTACAACTGCACCACTCCAGCCCCAGTACCTTTTTGTCTTGCACTCGTATTGTTGTGTGTCATAGAAAACATTTTAGTTGCCGGGACAATTTTGTCCAAAATCCTAAATGACTTAAAACTTATTAAATGTTTACATTTCTATCAGCTAAAAGCTAACAAACTATGTCAGCATATATTTGCAAAAATATACCTTTAGTTAAATTATTCTGCTACTAAAATGACATGAATGAAGTTTAAACCTCATTTGGTACATTACGATGTGCTGCGAACAACATCGTACTTTTTTTTTGTTGTAAATGTATTTCTCTGACGTTCAACATTATATTATTTAAAGCACATTTGTTTGTGTATTTTAATCACCTGCTGATAGTAGTTTAGTAAGAATAAATAAATATATAAAACTTACCACTATACGGATGTATCAGTGTACCTCAAAATGTTTTCCTTGAGGTAAATTTTTAGGCTGTAAAAAGGAAAATATATCATTTATCAAAATAATTTGCAACATTTAGAACAGAGTCACCTCAGACTAGAGGTCATTCAGCTGTCCCTGAACTTACTGTGTGTGTGTGTGTGTGTGTGTGTGTGTGTGTGTGTGTGTGTGTGTGTGTGTGTGTGTCCTTGTTGTTTCAGCTATTGGTTATTCATTCCTGTAAACCTAGGCCAGCGTTATGCTCTAATGAGTCTGTGTTTCTATATTTATCCCCTGAAGTTCACAGATTCTACGTAAGAACAAGGAGCGGAAACACAGCTCCATTGACTCAGTGGAAATCAGTGACACTTTTATTGTTGTGAATTAACACAGTGGTTGACAAGGACAAAGGCAGCTGCCAGGCATCACATGTTCAGTCCTTCAGCCCATTTACTGGAGAAAAAATATTTAGCTTATCTTCTTCTTCTGTCTGCTTGGATAGTAACTTTTAGTATTTTGTAAATAGTTATAATGAAAGAAGGCCGTGGTGGCCTTCGGTCCGGAAGGCCCCAGGTTCGAATCCACCAACTGCCAGGTTGCCACTGAGATGCACTGAGCATGGCATCGTCCTCAAGCACTGCTCCCCGGGCGCTGACCACGGCTGCCCACTGTTCACTTGGTGATGGGTTAAATGCAGAGGTTAAATTTCGTTGTGCATGGTGTGCTGTGCTGTGTCACAATGACAAATAAAGATAAGTTTAAGTTTAAGAAATATATTTATTGAAAATCTTTCAACATCTGGACAAAAATAAGGTTTTTGTTGAAAAATTATTTTTCGAAAATGCAATATTTTGAAAAGAAACGTAAAAAAAATTAAAATTTGAAAAAGAAAATCCAAATATTTAAACATTTTTTTAAAAAAAGTTTTGATGAGAAACACGCAGACAAGATAAAAATTTTGAAAAAAAAATTTCATCAAAATTTTTTCAAGTTCACGCCTAAAATTATAACCAAAATAATCAGAAAAAAATAAATTTTAAAAAAAATCAAAAAACTATATGTTGATGAGAAAGATGCAAACAAGAAACAAATTTGAAAAGAAAATCCAAAATCTTTTTATCAAAATTTCTTCTGTAATTAAATTAGGATTTTGCCAAAAAATTACGATTTTTTCTACAATGCATATTTTAATAATTTTTGAGAAAACTTTGAGAACTTTTTTTTTCTACAATGCATATTTTAATAAGAAATATGCAGAAAAGGTAATAATGTAAAAAAGTATAATTTTTAAGCAACATGTTTCAACTTCTCACCTAAAATTAGGAATTTGCCAAAAAATTCAGAAAAAGAAAAGATTTTCAATATACTTTATTTTGATAAGAAACATGCAGACAAAAACTTTTCAAAAAATCTTTTTAATTTTTTAGAAAAAAAATTTCTCAGATGTTGAAAAATTGATGAAAATCTTTTTTTAAAAAATTCAAAATTGACAGAAAAGACAGAAAAAATTATACAAAAAAAATTTGCTCAGTTGTTGAAAAATTTTGATGAGAATATTTGAAAAAAAAATTCAAATTCTTTTCTTTTTTGCATGTTTCTCATTAAAAAATAGAAAAAATGTTTTTTCTAAAATGTGTTAAATTTGTGTAGAAATTTTGTGGGAAATATTTTTGAAAAACCATTTTTTCGAAATTTCTTGAGAAATTTTTTTTTCTAAAAAACTAAGAAAAACATTCTTGGCAAACATTTTAGAAAAAACGTTTTTTAAATATTTTTGAGAAAATTCTTGGGAAAAATTTTTGAAAAACTTTCTGAAATTTTTTTTGGAAAACTCTTTAAAAAATTTTTTGGAAAAATATTTTTGAAAAAACATTTTTTCGAAATTTCTTGAGAAATTTTTTTTTCTAAAAAACTAAGAAAAACATTCTTGGCAAACATTTTAGAAAAAACGTTTTTTAAATATTTTTTAGAAAATTCTTGGGAAAGACTTTTGAAAAACTTTTTGAAATTTTTTTAGAAAATTCTTGGTAAAATCTTTTTGAAAAATTTGTAAAAAAAAGATTTAGATTAGATGTTGAAAATTTTTTATAAAAATCTTTGAAAAAAAATACCAATTTTTTTCTTTTATTGCATGTTTCTTATAAAAATTTAGAATTTTTTCTTTAGAAAAATAAAAATTTTAAGAAAAAACTTTTTTTTTAAGTTTTAGAAAACAAGATTTGGTCAGATGTTGAAAACGTTTGATGAACTTTTTTTAAAAAAATCAAAATTGTATCTTTTCTGCATGTTCTCATAAAAAAAATAGCGTTTTGAAATTTTAAAAAATATATATATTTTTTGAAAAAAAATTAGAAAAAAAATATTTTTTGAAACATTTTTAGAAAAGAAAATTTGTTCAGATGTTTAAAAATTTTGATGAAAATCTTTGAAAACAAAAATTCTAATTTTGTTCATTTTTGCTTATTTCTCATAAAACTATAGCGTTTTGAAAAAAAATGTAGAAAAAAAATGTATTTTTGAAAAATCTTTAGAAAAGAAAATTTGTCAGATGTTGAAAATTTTTGATGAAAATCTATGAAAAAAAAAGTTTCATATCAGAAATATCATGTTTCTCATAAAAATATAGCGTTTTGACAGAATTTTAGAAAAAACGTTTTTATAAAAAAACTTGAAATTTCGAAATTTTTTTAGAAAATTCCTGGGAAAAATTTTTGAAATTTTTTTCTTTGAAAATTCTTGGGAAAAATGTTTGAATTTTTTTTTTTTAGAAAATTTTTAGAAAATTCTTCAGAAATGTTTTTGAAAAATATTTCAAAAATATATTTTCGAAAAAAGTTTTTATAAAATCATTGAAAAAAAACTTTTGATTAAAGTTTTTTTTTTTAATTGTTAGAAAAAATATTTGAAGTTTGTTAGAAAATTATTGGGAAAATTAAAAAAAACATTTTTTGAAATTGTATGAAAAATTGTTTTGTAAATTTGTGTAGAAAATTCATGGGAAAGTTCTTTAGAAACATTTTTTTTATAAAAAACCAAGAAAAAAATGTAGAAAAAACGTTTTTTAAATTTTTGTTTAGAAAATTCTTAGGGAACATTTTTTAAAAAAAATATTTTTTGAAAGTCTTTTTTTAAAAAAAAAAAAAAAGTTTTTTTCTAAAAATGACATGAGAAGTTCACATATTGAAAAATAATTTCATACATAAAAATTTCTAAAAATGTTCGTCAATTTTTTAGTTTTTAACCAAAAATGACATTAAAAGTTCCCATTTTGAAAAAAGACTTTATTCTGAAAAATTTCTAAAAATTTTCCCTGAATGCACTAGTTTTACAAGAAACGTGCAAGAAAAGATAACATTCTGAAAAATAATTTTACCAAAATCTCCATCACAATTGTTTAGTTTTTGACCAAAAATGACATGAATAGATCACATTTTGATAAAAGAAATTTTACCAGAAAAATTTATAAAAATTTTCCCTAAATATCCTTATTTTACAAGAAACATGCAAGATAAGATAACATTTTGAAAAATAATTTTACCGAAATTCTCATCACAATTTTTTAGTTTTTGACCAAAAATGACATGAAAAGTTCACATTTTGACAAAGAAATTTATTCAGAAAAATTTCGAAAAATGTTGGATTAATGCACTAATTTTACAGGAAACATGCAAGAAAACATAAAAAATTTTATATGAATATTTTAAAA